AAATAAAATCTTCAAAAATAATTTAACGATGTTTCTGGATAAATTTACATGAGTTTTAAAAAATTTTTATTGAAAGCATGCATTTTGTCTCCCAAAAACATGATTATAATTGGTTAAAAAAATGCTTATCATATAATTTTCATAAATGAAAATTGTATGACATGCATTTTTTCATAAGCAAAAATACAATTTTTTTTTGGTTGCAAACTTGTTTTTGTGCTCAAACAAAAATTTTTGCAGAAAAAAACTTTTGCATGCAAAATGTGACTTTTTGTGTTTTTTACGTAATCCAGGATGAGTTTTTCGCCCAAAAAATCCAAAAATCACAAAAAAAGTGCTTTTTTTTGTAAACACTATTATTATTTTTTTATTTCATTTGCTAAGATAAAAATAAATTTGTAAAAAAAGCAGGCTTTTTTTTCTCAATCATTAAAACTTTCAAATCAAAAATTATCTAGTCATATACAAAAAAATTACATTTTTGGTATATAATTCCATGTCACAATGTAAAAATTAACGTAGGTAGCCATAATCACCAAATGCAGTTTATCTGCGTGGTAACTGCCAGTTACACTCTGGGTTTTCTTAAGTCCAGGGTTAGTGTTTCGGATGAAACACAAAATTTCAAAACAATTATTTTTTGGTATTTTCATTTACGGAAAAAATGCTTATCATGCAATTTCATTGTATGGAAAAAATGCTCATCATAATATTTCATAGTATGGAAAAATGCTTGTCAAGCTATTTTCATAGTATTTCTTTTGGTCTATGAAATAGTATGACAAGCATTTTTTTCATAATATGAAATGATGCTAAACATCATAATATGAAATATGGTATGATAAACATTTTTTTGTCAACCCGGGCTGTTATGTGAAGCACCTCTCAGATAAACAGCTTGAGTTCCGGGATTAGTTTCTATTGACTGGTTCTAACGTTTTGAATCAGTTAATAACCACTACTCTAGTGCTTGACCATTTGGGTTGCAGATGGAAGAAACTAATAATAGGATGAACTATGAAATCTTCATTTTTGAAGCAAAATTATCTAGCAGAAAAAAAACTGAAAAACGATTGTACATTATATGTGAAAACTAATTACCTAATTTTGACACTATTGTTTGAAAAACAAATTTTGATAACGACGAATTAGCATTTTACAATTTGAAGTATCCTAAAATTATTGATGCTTTCATTAAGAAATGTCGGTGATAATTTATCTTTTATTAACAAAACCTCATATGTGTTTTAAACTTTATAAAAAATCACTTTTATAAATTTGAATACAATCAAAAAAAACTGAGCTACTATATTTTTCATTTTTAACATTCCAACTTTTACGGTGAAAAAAAAACGTATCTCATTTGAACTTCCAGGACTTTGGTTTTGACAAAACCTGAAACTCGAACAAACATTTTTGTAAGCTTGATTCTCTGCTCTTGATTGAGAGAAATTTGTATTTTTTGCTTCTGTTTCCAAACTTGCGGACCTCATCGGTTCAATCTGTCTCTACTATTTAGTTGTGAAAACAAAATTAGAAGGCACCATATTTTATCTTTATGACTTCTGGATTTCATTTAGTTTAAATTTAGTCATCCAAAAATATTTAGCCTTTAGCGGGATAAATCGGCATTTTATTATCTATATCAAAAAAATTGGAGAAGGTTTGAAGTATTAAGTATTCAATGGCGGAAAATCTATGCAAATCTAATTATTTTAATGTAAACGTCCTTATTTAAAGACTTCCTCGCCCATTGAGATTTTTTGAGTCTTGAAACTCTGTTGTTAAAATTTTTTGCTTGAACAAACACACCTTGAAATACTCTATGACGTGAAAAAGAAGGAGGGAGGGATTGACGTGACACAAAGCTGCGAAAATAACAATTTTCAGCTCGATTGAGCTTAATTATCTTTTACAACATATTTTTGGGCACTTATGTTTGAGCTATCTTGCTTGGTTTGCGAGTGGTCAAATAATTTCTCAATGGAAAAAAAAATTTACACCAATTTTTTTTTTCAAATTCTTTAGATATTGATCAAGTTACAACTAAAAAAACGATTTGATCTCATATATTTATCACTTGATGTACACTGACTGTGAGTAAAAAACCATTGGAAGCAGTTGATGTTCTTTTCCTTTTTGGGAGGGGAGAATAAAATTTTGTTTGACGACAGGATGGTTGCAATGGTTTTTCTACTTGTACCATCAAATTTTATGTTAATGCAAACGTTAGTTTAAAATGATCTTGAAGAATGATTTTTCTCAAGAAAACCACTTTCTTTCACGTAGCAAAACGATTCGAGCAAAAGTAATTCAACTCTGAATCTTCGAGCTCAGTTTACGCAAAGTGGTTCGCACTGAAAGAAAAACTGCTTATACGCTCAGTGAAAAAATTCGATAAAAATCAATTATACGCAAAAAAACCTACAACATTATGTAGGTACAGAATCCATCTATCTAAAACCATTTCATGAATGAGAATCAATTTTACACAAGTGGAGTTGATTAATTTTCACGAAACAATAATGGATTTTACAACCAAAACAATTTTTTTTCTGTTCTATAAAACTTGTACATAAACTGTAGATAATCTGTATTTAATCTTTTTATAATCTCTATAAAACAAATCCATAGATTATTCTGTAGATAATCTAAATATAGTCTGCAGAAAATATATTTTTAATTAGTATATAATCCGTAAAAAAATTATTTATATTGTCTAGAAGCTAAAGAGATAATAACAATTTGAATTTCAATTATCCAAATGTTTAATTAAAACTAAATTTCCATAATTTCAGCAAAAACTTGTGACCAGGAAAAGTCTTCTTCGTTACTTTAGTGATCTGAACACACATGATTCAAGTTATTTACCGCAAAATAAAAGTTTTAAGTGATTTATCTAAATTTTGCAACCCAAAGATTCCTGCGGTAAAAAAAAGGTACGTTTGTGTAAAATCTCTCAAAATCCCAATTTTAGAGAAAAAAAAAGATTTTAGCGCAATTTTGTTAAAATATCTTTGACAAAAGTTCGGAAATTTAACTTGAAACAATTAGTTGTCTACTGCAAGACAGTTCCACATCACTGACTCCAAAAGATTTTTCAGATCAAATATCAGCACAAAATCATAACTGAAGAACCTGCATCTTAATTTAAATTGAAATTAATCATAAAGTTTTTTGAAAAACAAAGTGCCTGATAAACAATTATTGAAACTATATAATTGAAGTTCCACTGTAAAAACACAAGTGATCTCAAATCTGTTTCTTCTTTCTGTAAATACTTTTTTAGCAAGTCTTATCACTGCGTTTATTGAATTGTTTTTGAAGTTTCAGCAGAATTTTTAATTTAATGTTTGAAATTCTTAGAAACTTTTTAAACTAATACTCCGATCGAAAAACTAGATTTTTGCATTTTTTGTTTTTTTCAAGGGGTGCTTAAAAAAATTACAGAATTCGGCAGGATCAACTTTGGTCTGTCAATCCTCGATGCAAAATTTTGGTTGAAGTGGTTTTCAGTGAGAAACATCGCCTGAATTTTGTTGAACTTGTTTTCTGGTTGTGCAACTATAATCAAGGTTTGATCCAACTGAAAAATTGCTGAATGTTAAAAAAGGCTATCTATTCAATTGGAAATTAGCATTTATCGTAATTTGAGGAAATCGCTATCAAAGTTTAGGAGTGCAAACACCGCTGCCATCAATACTTTTGACTCTATAATTAAAACAAGACTGCTCGTATCAAGGCGAAACCCTGAATGTTCCGACTGCCTTTTGAGGTTTATGGAGCAGCAGTAATAACATAAAAAAATTAAATGAAATTAAATAAAATGAATTTTTTTTTCTAAAATTTGAAGTTTTTTTAATGAAAATCATCCCGCCCACACGCCATATAAAGTACAAAAGGATAGATTTCGTTCCTTGTAACAAATCAATTATGGCGAATAAGCATCGTTCAACCAATTTGGAACGATTTATAAGACGGATTAAATCTCCGCTTACGCGTTAAAAGCGCGAACTATATCGCGCGTTAATTGTCCCAAATTGGTCAAAATGGCCAAAATGGCAATCTTTAAACCCTCATAACTTTATGAAAAAAGATCACAGGTGAAATATCTTTTCAAATTTAAGCTCAAGACAACAAAACCTTTTGAATGATATTTGAAAATTTCGTCAAAAATGGCTAGTTAAAAAGTCGAAATTTGTCTGAAGAAAAAAAAAACCCACCCCGAGCACAAATATTCCGTTACTTTCGTATCGAAAGTCGGAACAACAAGACTGCTCGTACAAGGGCGAAGCCCTGAATGTTCCGACTGCCTTTTAATAATTATGAAGCAGTAATAACATTTAAGAAGTTGAATGAAATGAAACAAAATGAATTTTTTTTTCTAAAAATTGATTTTTTTAAATAAAAATTATCCCCCCACACGCCATATTAAATACAAAAGGACAGATTTCGCTCCTTGTAACAAATCAATTATGGCAAATAAGCTTCTTTCAACCAATTTGGAACGATTTCTAAGACGGATTAACTCTCCGCTTACGCGTTAAAAGCGCGAAATATATCGCGCGTTAATTGTCCCAAATTGGCCAAAATGGCAATCTTTAAACCCCCGTAACTTTACGAAAAATGATCACAGGTAAAATATCTTTTCAAATTTGAGCTCAGGACAACAATACCTTTCGAATGATATAAAAAAAATTACGTCAAAAATGGCTAGTTAAGAAGTCGAAATTTGTCTGAAGAAAAAAAAACCCACCCCGAGCACAAATATTCCGTTACTTTCGTATCGAAAGTCGGAACAACAACTGTTCTTTAAACGTCCCAAGACGTTTTGGCAAAAAAGGTTACTTAACTATCATACGACCACAAAAGATAAATATACCGACACTTGGTTTTTTCAATTTTACAGCTTCACGCTTTTGCTCTCGATCAAATCATCAGCAATTATAACTCTGTTATTCCAGGTGAATAAATTAAGCATCCCCTCTGCTAAAGTCAAAACAAACAGCACAAAAATTCATCGGCATAAACAGAGCGCGTGCACTGCAAAACAACACAGGCGTACATCTAGGAGGTCCATTACATTTCGCACTAAAACCTCGGAGCCAGTAACGATTGCTATACGTTTAGAAAAGCGGTTATTGCAACTAACTCTGATTAACAATATCGACTATTTTGAAAGTAACTTTGATTAAAAGTATCAACAATTACCCTTAATAATATCTACCATAATCATTACCAGCTATAACTTGCAAATTATTACCAAATTTCAGCAGCTGATTTTCATATCTAGCTGTTTGTTCTTATTTAATACCGATAGATTGTGTCATAATCAGTGCCTGTGTGTGACCTTTGATGCTATAGAAATGCCATACAAGGGATCATACTGTGCCCCTATCAATGATGGATCTTCTCGACACTGGGAGGCAAGGAGAGTCCAGAATTGCGTCGACAGAGCCACGCTGGAAAGGCAAAGTCTGGCACAGGTCAGTACTGAAGCTACCATTTTATAGGTCAACAGTTGTCTAAAAAACTGATCAAATATTAGGTAAATCTTAGGACGGAAAAATATAATTAAAAGTGGTCGAAATTCCGAACATTTTGAGATTTTACGAATAAATTTTTTTTTGAATGGTCTTATGAACAGAGCAAATTTTTTCCAGAAACATTAAACCAATATCTCCGTTATCATACTTCAAAAAATTCTGTTAAATTGCAATTTTAGCTTTTATTTACTCTTCCATAAAAAATTGATATTTATGGTACAAAATATGATGCAACAAACACTTGATCAAATTATCCATTACAGGGGCGGACCTAGACTTTTCTCAAGGGCCGATTTTCAAAAAAGTTCTTAGGTCGACCAAAATGATTTTCGAGCTCTCCCAAAGCATTAAAAAGACCTTGTTTTGGCCAAACCTTCAGCGCCTCAGGCAAACGTTTTGAAAAAACGCCAAAAAAAAGTTTTTTTAGACTTTTTGAAATTGTTGAGCAGAAATTGCGTTTTTTGGCGCGCGCTTCCCCCTCGAAAGTATTTAGCTTCCCATCCGCCAAAAATGGGTTTTTCAAAATAGTACAAAGAGGTTTGTCGGCATTTCTTCACGTTTAAACCCTGGTTGTCAAACTTTTCCAATGTGTCCTTCTTTGGTACTTGATTATGACACTCATTCCTGGCAGACCACCCCCTATTTTTTCCAAACGAGCCTTTGGTGCCAAAATGTACTAAAATTAACCAGGGTAGACTAGGGCCTAAAAACGCAATTTTTTGGTCCTACTCTAAAAAATTGAAAAAATGGCATTTTTTCCAAAAAAAATGCAAGAGGTGCAAATTTAGCTCATATGATCACACCGAAAATGCTGCAGAGATCAAAAACTTTAATGAAAAGTCAACGACCGCTTTCCCACCATTGACAAAACCCTACGTACTCCACTGTTTTACACTCAAAGAATTATTTACTGAGACATTTCGCGTACAGTTTCGCGTACAGTTTCAATAGAAGAGATGTTTGAAGTAAGCCCGGGCCATTATACGTATCACAAGTCGCGACCATTTTAAATAGTATTCAAATACGACTTGAATACTTATACGCACTAAACTAGAGTTAAAAGAATGAAAAGTGATGTGTTGAATTAAAACTGACTTTTCTAAATAAAAATCGAAAAGTGCGGCGAACTCCAAAAGACTTCGATCAGACACAAACTAACAGGTATCTAATTAATAATTAGAAATCCAATGCAGAGAGATAAAACACAAACTACAACATTCCCTAATACAGGAAAAGATTTATATCAGACTACCTGAATGAATTGCCAAGTCACAAACATACCCCTTTCTCCTTTCACCCCGAAATTTGAAACAAAAAGTATTCAATTTACAAAAACACCATGGAATTTACCAGGGGATATACAATTGAAAACGGAGATGAATATGATATCAGAAAACACAGGTTACATACAGTTCACTACAGATATACAGAAAGAGAGATAACAAAATGAGTGTACAATTGGGGGTATGTAAAATAGAAACAAACGAAACATTGGTTGTAATTAAATACTAATGTATAGATTCTAATAATAGCGCTTCGTTATCCCACGAGTGGGGAAAAAAACCTAAACCGTGATGCACGTAACTAAAAAGTAGCAATCTTGGTTGCAAATTTTACTTCACAATTTTTATCCAATGGGTTGTAACTTTAAAAAAATTTTTTCAGGTTGTGTTAAAGTTTTTATGGAAATTGTCTGCCTCGTTTCTAAGTTCTGTGTCAATAACGATTGGTAGGTGGACATAACACGACTAGTTGAGGTTCCAAGGATGGTGGAGCTGTGGTGGAACCATGTGAGATCTCGGCGACCAAAGTTGGTTTGTGCTTAAAACCTCCAAGTGGAGTCAAAACGGCTGACGGCCACTAGGTTTGGAAAGTGATCTGTGCTTGTTTAATTGGGGTGTTGAATGAGGACACAATTGAACTTAGAGGCTCCTCCTCTGATTCCTTCACCAAGTTCACTGCCGCCACTGGAGAATTTTCGTTGATGAGCCTTCTCTCTCCATAAAATTTGGGCGATCCCGGGTTTCTTCTCGGTCTTGAATAGCTACAAGACGGGTTAGCCGGCGCTGGTTCGGCATTTTTTTCTGGCTAGCTCTCGATTGAAATTGGGTTGTCACTTGTTCCCAAAGGGCTTGTTATGGTTCCAGAGGATGTATCGTCGTCGGTGTGATATAATCTTGATGAATTTAAAGAACTTTCAAACATGAAAGGTTGGGAATCTGATTTTACACCGGTATCCGTACCCTCAAAGTCACCCACGGCGTTGTCCCAATGTTCTAAATCTAACAACGACGCTGGTTCTGAAGTGAAAGAAAGGAAACCTTAAGACATATCAACATATGGTTTTCGTCTCTTCGAGGAAGTGGAATCCGAAGGTCTTCTAGAGGAAGACAGTCCATAGATTCTCGATCCAGTCTCTTGTACGGGAAATTCTCTTTCTATTTTCTGCTACATTATCAGTTTTAACATAATTAAAGCAAATATTCCTCTTGCTGGTAAATTTATTTGGAGCTATTGGATTTTTTTGTAAGGCAAGATCTGATTTCCTGAGGATTTGACAGTTATCGAGGGTTATCGTATGTTTAGAATCAGTTCGGACTTTTCCACTAAGTGGTTTGAAGTACGGTTAGCCTTCTTTTCTAATTACAATCTTCCAGAACCATTTATTTTCTTGGGTGAAGGGGCTCGAAATGAGTAATTTACTCCGTTGGGTAGCTCTCATTTTCTTTGTGATCAAGTTTTGTATCTTTGTATCTTGTAGCCCTTCTCTTTGTCGTCATTTGCCCCTCAGTCCTAGGTCCTTTCCTTTGAATGGATCGGATCGACTTCCCTTTATATAAATCAATCGGGTGGGAGACAAGGAATTTCCAAAACAATACGAGACCTATGAAAATGTTTAAAGAAAGGTGTGCATCCAATGAATGGTTGTTTTATCGAATGGAGATTCCAAATGGTTTTATCGATCGCAGAATTTAGGGTCGGCTTGGGCTCGATGAACGACTTTGCCATTATTTTCGCTTTTCATGTATAACATAGACATTTTGTGACTTCATTGTATCTTTATTCTCCCACAGTACACAATTTATTCTTCCCGCTGAAATTCTTAAATTATATTTTTTAAATTAATCTTCTCGCTGAAATAAAACACGACCCATCGTCTTTTCTAATTAACTTAGGAAATCCGTTGTTTGCAGTAATCAATCAAAAAAGAGCGTGTTGTTGATGTAGACGTGTCGCTTACCACTTTTGCCGATGGCAATTTTGAGAATCTATCGATGCATTGTAAAAAGTATTTTGATGCACCCCAGTTTTTACAAAATGGACCGCCGTATTCCATATTTATTTCTTTCTTGAGCTCCATCAAAACCGATAATGTCTGTGTGTTATCCGTTTCCGAATTAGCGTTTCGTTTCTACCGGCTTTTTACATTGCGAGCAAGTTTTGCCGTTGTGGTAAATTTCTCGGTACAAATTTGGCCATCAGATGTTTTTCGGCCATCGCCTTTCTTCCGACTTAACCATTTTGTATTTCATGTAAGAGAGTCACGAAAGGCATTCTGAGAGCTGCTGGGACAGTCTGTTTGTTTTTAATTAATAGGAGTTCCTTCTGTCCCATTGGAATGACTTTACAAAGGCCCCGAACTCATCCAAGGGTTTTCCGTTCTCGACCACTGTCCTGACTTCGGACACGATTTTGTGCTCGTTTATCATCCAACTTATTCATTTGTGGGAACTATGTTCGGTAAATACTAATGGGGACGAAAATAACTTTAAACCTCCCTCGTGTTTTATAGGTAATTTCAAACGACATAGTGTTGTTTTATATTGTCAAATTTGTATGAATTTGTGACATACTGTCGTTTTATGCTGTAAAACTTTAACACAATTTCTTGGTTTTCTAAAATTACTGATAAATTTTGGGAATTAATTCAGGTGTGAAATGCAATTATCTCAGGTTTGCCTTGAGCAATTATGTTCGATAGAGCATGTAAAAATGTTGGAATGAGAAAGAAATCTTTAGATTTGTCTGGAAATAAAAACTGATGAAAATTCAATTTTGAATGATCTAGGGGAAGAGAACTGCTCGTACAGGACTCTGAACTCGAGTGATTTGAGTTGTGTCTCAGACGTAAAATAAATTTTTCGAGAAGAACCACCTTTGGATGTGTAATATTTTTTCATCCTTTCCGACCGTTGGAAGTTTATCATCCAAACTCGTTATAAATTATACACTGTACGCATCCACTGGATTACTTATCAACAAATCGTTCCTCACATTATTCTTCTTTTTACAATCAGTATTTTCAAATAAATTTTCTGTTATCTTGTTAATTGTGGCGGCCAAAAACTCTATGTCGTAATCGGATGGCGGGAGGGCTTTTCCGGAAGGAAGTCTTGATAAAAAGTTAGTAAGTACCAATTCCTTCCCTGGGATTTGCTGAATTTTAAATTTAAAGGCAAAACTCTGCTTACCCAAATGGTCAATCTACTGTGCAGAGTTTTGTTGCATTTATTAGCCTTTAGCGTGGACAGTTAAGATCTATGGTCGGTTGTGATTTCGAAATGTGATCCTTTTAGTTATTTTATAAAATGTTCGGTTGCCCAGACCACTCGGAAAAGTTCTAATTCATGCGTCGAAATATTGTTTTTATGAATTTATAAAAATTTAGATGCAAATGCAATCGTTATCCAGATTTTTCATGCCATTGTTCTAGATTTGATTCTATTCCGCTATGCAAAGCATCCGTTTTTAGTCTTGTTTTTTTCTTGATATCAGAGATATTAGTTTCATTTATGTTAACAATTTGCATTTTTAGTTCTTCATAAACCAAAGTTTGATAATCAGTCAAATAGTAAACTGATTCCTTGTTCAAAAACGTGCGTAAAAAATAAGACAGAATTAAAAGATTTGATACCAATTTCATGGCCTGATTTATTGAA